TTGGATTATAGGAAATTTTATGTTCATTCTCTCTTTATATTATCTATTTTTGAAATGAGATTATAACATTGTAACAAAATGTTCTTTCTATATTAAAAGTTAATTGTTAATGTGCACAATATTTTTTACTTTTATATAAACATGCTAAAAATATGCTTTCTTATATTTACACATGATACTCATTTAATTTCAGCAAATAATACAGATTATATTTTTGAAAAATTACTGAAATATTATTTTTATATAAATTTATTTGGGCTGTTCTATTCTTTTAACTTAGTCTTTTCATCCTTTAAAATGTTATTTCTAAAATTTTAACTATGTGAGGTGATAAATATGAACTAACATTATTACTATTGTGGTAATTACTTTGTGATATACACATATCAAGACTTTACATTGTATACCTTGAACTTTTACAATGTTGTATGTTAATTATATCTCAATAAAGCTGGAAAATAATAAAAGGTCTGTTAACATTAATAAGCCCATTACTTAGTAAAACAAAATTGGACTTTCTTAATAGATTCCTCATATACAAAAAATAAAAAATGAAAAGTTAATTCTAACATACTTGTGTCTTGAGGTTGATCAGTCAAGAGTGCATTTTGTTTAAAAAAAATTTTTTAACGCTTTGCTAAGATAATGGTTTGTATACTGAAATTATTGATAAGTTGTGATTAGAAAATTATGGAATGGATGCTATTTAATTTATTTTCCTTTACATGAATTATTGAATAATGTTAATTTTTCAGTTGGTATAACATTTTAAGTTAGATTTTTAGTTATTTTCAATGTTTCAAATTTCTTTTCTTTTTTTTTTTACATTCCTTTTAAATTATTTACCAATTTCCATGAAACAAAAATAGAATGGAATGTAATAGGCTATATTTTGCTATTATGGATTTTAATCTTGCCTTTGAACAACATAGTTTCCTTGAAAAAAATTTTTACTGTATTTTTATTGTTGTATGTAAATTTTATCTATTTTATTGTATAGCTCTACCTATTTTAACAAATGTTTTAAGTTGTGTAAACCCAACCACAATGAAGCTATACAACAATTTCATCATACTAAAAAATTTCCCTATACTCATTTGTAGTCAAACCTCCCTTCATCTCTGGGCCCCCAGCAAAGACTGATCTATTTCCTGTGCCTATGGTTTTCTCTTTGCAAGAATATTATATAAATGGAGTCATACAGTTTATAGCCTTTTGACCTAGTTTCTTTCGCTTAGGATATTATATTAGAGAATCATCCAAGTTGTAGTGTGTACCCTACTTCATTTCTTTTTATTTCTGGGTAGTCTTTCACTATATGGATACGTCATAGATTGTCATTCCATTTCTCAGTTGGGGGATATTGGAGTTGTTTGAAGTTTGGGGGCATTACTAATAAGCTGCTATAAAGATGCATGTTCGAATTTGTGAGTGAATATGTCTTTCATCTCACTAGGGTAAATACCTGGGAGTGAGATGTGTGGATGATATAGTATTCTTATTTTATAAGAAACTGCCAGGTTGTTTTCCAAAGTGGCTCTATCATTTTGCATTTCCACCAGCCATTTATGAGAGTTTCATTGCTCTGCATCCTTGCCAGTCCATGGTATTATCTTTCTTTTTATAAAGTGTCAAATAAGCTTGTAGTTGTATCTCATTGTGGTTTTAATTTGCAATTTCCTCATGACTAATAAGACCAAACATCTTTCCTTGTGCTTATTTTTCATTCACATATTTTCTTTAATGAATTATATGTTTAAGTCTTTTGCTCATTTTTTAGATGCATTGTTTGTTTTCATATTATTGGGCTTCAAGAATTTTTATAATTCTAAATAATAGTCCTTTATTAGGCATGTGATTTATATGTATTTTTCTCCCTGTCTGTGACTTTTGAAAAACAAATATTCTTAATTTAAATGAAGTCCTATTTATTTGTTCTTTTAATCACTGTGGTTTTGATTTTGTGCATAAGAGAGCATTGCATAACAAAAGGTTACAAAATTTTCTCCTATGTTTTTAAAAAGGTTTTAGAGTTCTAGGTTTTACATTTATATTCATGATCCATTTTAAATAAATTTTTGTATAATGTGAAGTGTATATAAAGATTTGGTTTTGTTTGTATGTGAGTATATGTCTAGTTATTCCAGCACTATTTATATTTGGAAGAACTATCATTTCTCCACTGAGCTACCTTTTTACCTTTGTCAGAAACCAATTGGCCATCTATATATTTGTGTGTAAGGTGATTTCTGGATTCTTTTTTCTGTTCCATTTGTCTTCATGTTTATTATTTCTCCATTACCACTCTTTTAATTATTGTAGCTTTATAGTAAATCTAGAAATCAAGTATGTGAGTCCTCTGACTTTGAAGAGAATGTGTATTTGGCTGTTTTGGTGTGGAGTTTTCTCAAATTGTCAATTAGGTTAATTTAGTTGAAAGTGCTGAAAAAATAAAAAATTAGAAGCCCAGCCAGTGTGGCTCAGTGGTTGAGCATCAACCCATGCACCAAGAGGTTGCCAGTCCAATTCCCTGTCAGGGCACATGCCCAGGTTGTGGGCCTGATGCCCAGTGGGGGGCATGCAGGAGGTGGCCAATCAATGTTCTTTCTCATCGATGTTTCTATCTCTCTCTCCCTCACTCTTCCTCTGTCTCTAAAATTAATATAGGGGAAAAAAGGAAAGAAAGTGCTGTTTATGTCTTCTATATCCTTAGTGACAATTTGTCTACTTTTTTATCAGTTGTTATTAGTGTGCTTTGAAGTTGCCAACTATATTTGTGGATTTGTTTATTTTTCCTTTTAGTTCTATTATTTTTTGCTTCCTGTATTTTGAAATGCTATTGTTAGGCGTATACACAATTATATTTGTTATGTCATTTGGGAGAATTGACACCTTTATAATTAAGTAATGTCTCTCTCTCTCTATCCTTGTTCTGATGTCTAGTTAACATATTATTAGTATAGCTATCCCTGACTTCTTTGATTAGTGTTTGCATAGTATCTCTTTCTTATCATTTTATTTTTAACCTATTTAAGCCTTTGTATTTATTTATTTATTTTCACTATATTTTTATTGTTGACACTATTACACATATTTTCCTTTTCTCCCCCTTTGCCTGCCTCCAATCTCCTTCCTTCTGGCCATCACCACACTCTTACCTGTGTCCATGAGCTATGTATATATGTCTTTAGCTAATCTCTTTGCCTTCTTTCATCCAGTCCCCCACACTTCCCTTTGAAAGCTGTCAGTCTGTTCCTTGTATCCATGCCTCTGGTTCTATGTTGTTCATCAGTTTATTTTGATCATTAGATTCCATATCGGTTTCTGTACACAGCATATAGTTTGGTTTTGATTTTCAATCCAGTCCAACCATCTTTATTTGTAATTGATGTGTTTATAAGGTCTATACTTAATGCAATTATTAATATTATTGGATTAAAATTCATCACATTGTCAGCTGTTTTATTATTAATCTCTTAAGTTGTTTTTTCCCTACATTGTATTTCATTTATGATTGTCTATTTTAGCTCCATTACTGATTTGTTATTACTTATTTTTCTTTGAAAAATAATTTGTTTTCCTAGGTGAAAGAATATATATCTTTAATTAATCAGTCTACCTTTAAATAATATCATACTTAATACATAGTATAAGGGCTTAATAGTGTTTTCCCTATTTCTCTCCCCCATTCTTTATACTATTGTTGTCATACATTTTACTGTTAAGTATGCTATAAACACAATGCATTGTTCACATTTTGGCTTTAGAAAGTTGTCTTTTTTAGAGCAATTAAAAATAAGGAAAGATGAATTATATATTTACCTCCATGTATTCCATTTCTAGAATACTTTATTTCTTTATGTATATGTTATATCTTATAAAAAAAATTAAAAATGTGTTGAAATTTTTAAAATCTATTAGTATTTACAACACCAGTTCCTGACTCCTCCTGGGTCTGTTAAAAATGTGTTGTGCATAGACAACTAGGAATATGTTTGACTTGTATAAATTCTTTGTGTTTAAAATTTCAAAACCATAGGCCTGCATAAGAGGTCCTTTGGCTTAATCTTCAAAGTCTGACAGATTCACTTGAACTCATCTCATTTTAAGATTCATCTGAAGTTCTCTTTCTGAAGCTGAGATACTTCTTGGTCAGCGAGTCTCTTCTTGTTTGTGTTGGTCTCCTGTCCTCATGTGTGGAGAGGGAGCCTCAGGATCATGCTTCCCTGCTGTTTAATATTCTCCTTTAACAACCTTGCATAAGCATGAAGTTAGCAATGAGTTCCTTTTAACCATTCTCCCTCACAGGTGAAAATCATTCTGTACTTCTTTGAGCTTTTTATAGAGTGATAGATCTTTCTCCCTGTCTACCTTTAAGCATTTCTATAGTATTTCCTCCTGAGCGTTTCACACAGTTCTTCTCGTTAAGGCACGTGAAATAAGTGGTAGCAGTTTTCACCAAGATGGAGCCAGAATCTCTACGGGGCTAACACTGGCTCTGGGAGAATGCCAGGGCACCAAATGGTGTAAATTCTCAAGGGTCCCGGATCCTTTGCCAAGCAAAGGGTCCGGACCCTTGCAGCCAAGTGCTAAACGTAAACCCTCTCACTGAAGCCATAGTGCCTTACTTTACTCCAGACACCTACCTACTTGCAGGAAAGTTCAGAGATTCAGAAGTTGAGTGGAGGTATTCCACAGGCTATGCTCACCTGAGGGCCTGGTTTATTCCAGAGCCCCTGCCTGCAACAGCCATAAGTATGTTGTAACTTGTATAGGGATGGGGCAAAGGAAAAGAGCAGAGTGGAAAACTGGAGCATTTCTGAGTAAACTATACCCAGTTGCAAGAGAAAAAATACTCTCAACGGTTAGACTGGTTCTATAATAGAACTTATAAACACCTGTCATTTGTGAGGGTAACTGCAAGAGATGTATTTTCAAGGTTTCCCCTTTATTGCATGTCCAGATCATAACATTTTCTTTTTGTCTTTTTCCCCCTCAAGGGGTGCTACATCCATTGTGTACAGATGCAAACAGAAGGGGACTCAGAAGCCTTATGCTCTCAAAGTGTTAAAGAAAACAGTAAGTTTGTTTCATTATATATAATAGCATCTCAATGGGATCTGTTACCTGGAGAAGCCAGAAGCCCTGATTCAAAGGATAAAGGGGCCAGAGAGCCACTATGTACAGTTAGCTCATTGGAATCTTGATTATGAGAGTGCAACCAAATGGGCCGTTGGTTGTCTGATGGAAACTGCATGACTCTGAAAACAACTGGATCTCAGATTGGATGTGGTTGTGGGGAGGAGAAGTGTGGAAAGAGAAAGCATTTCGAGATGGTAGGTGAACCTTGCTTTGTATATCAGTCATGACTTTAGATATACATATGTATATACCTAGATTTTCAAATATTGTATTTGTTTCAGTCAAGTACAACTGGACAAATGCTAATGTCTCTGGGACTGAACTGGCTCACCTAAGAACTTTGGATTTGAACAAACTTTTGCGGGGAGAGGTTGCTTCTTTTTACTCTATACTTGTAGGAGAACTGAGGAGGCAAAAATTACTTAGGCTCCTTTCCAGTGAGTTGGAAATGCAGCAGGCGAAAGCTCAAAACACAAATGGCAGCAGGATGTAGCACTCCCTGGGCCCCAGAGGGTGTTTGTCGTTATAATGCCTTACATGCATTTTCTATCCTCAGGTGGTTTTTCCTTATTAAACCACAAAAAGACAGGTTTTTTTTTTTTTATAGAATACATTCATCCTTTCTTAAATTTTATGTGAATAAATGCATGAAATATATATACTTCTGGAAACCCAGTTATAAAGTATGTGAGACATATCCTAAGTCTTGAAGTCAAATAATACCTGCTTTGGGCTAGTAGACTTTTTTTTTCTTTTCTAACGACAGCTTAATATCACCATCTGATATACGTTGTCTGGCACAGGCATTTTAGATCTCAGAGAATGAGGGACAGAATACTGGCACAGGGTTTTCAGGCCAGTAGAACTAGAATGACATTGGGAAACGCTCTTAGGATTTAACGACATAGCAAACTAACAACAACAGTTTAATTGAAGTGGGTAATTTAATGGCAGTTGCTACATATCAATTCTATATTCTGGATTTCCTGTTTGGTGTAGGCAATGATTTAAGTTAAGAATGTAGAAGAATTTTTTGATTGGCAAGTTTTGGAATTTTCTCTTAAATCAATTTTCAATATTCATAAAATGTATTTGAATTAAGGGTTATTAAAATTTTTATGACATGGAATTTTCTCTTCAATATCTACTGCTTATGGAACTAAATTGGCCTGGGTTAGCAGGAATCACACATGAGACGTTTTTGGAAATGGTTGTATCTATCCTTTCTTGCTGGTTAAAAAAAAAAAAACCAGTCAGTAAAATTTGTGAACGGTTACTTTGTTTCCATATTTGAGGAAACTTTAAAAAGGACAAACTATATGAAAGTATAGAAAAATAAACATTCAGAAATAACTTGTGAATGCTCAGAGTTCCAAAGGACAAAGGACCGTCTTAACGAGTGCTAGTTTAAGTAAACATTCTTTGGATGAATTGGAGTGAGAGATAGGTGGAGGCATTTAGAGGGTTCGTGACTCATACTCATTGGAAAGTTCAGCTCTTGCCTGCCCTCTTTGTACTCTCTTCTCCGCCTCTGTGTGGACACATCTTCCTCAGAAGACTGGCGGAAGAGAAGGCGGATGGGAACCGAGTCAGAGGGAGCTGGAGAGCGGTGCTGTAACACAGATGTCAGGCACAGCCACTGCTGTGCCAAATGGAGCGAGAGAAAACCCCTGGAGAAACCTCAGCTTTGGAGATGAATTAGACAGAATCCCAGCACTGCCTCCTAGAATAAACCATGCATTGAGATGAGAGAAATAGCGGGCGAAACCTCAAAGAGCACTCGTTCCAGTGTTTAATTCCACATAGGTGGAAACTTCCTTATCTGAGTGAAATGAAGGAAGCAGAAGAATCTGTTTATAAGAAGGAAAGTCATGCAGGGAAAACAGTATTTTTCTAGCAAATTCAGCCAAGGGTCTGCTCTTGAGAAGGGGCGTTTTCAGAAAACTTGAATTATTTATGTAATCTATTATATTGAGCCACATAAAATTACCTCTATGAAATCATTTTTTCCCCTACAAAAATAGCAATCTTTATGTGGCTCAATATAATAGATACATATTGTTCAATTTAACCACTTTGGGACCACAATACTGTTTCACTGGATAGTTCATTAGGTCCTCATTTTATGATTAGAACTAAACCTAAGAAATCTGAAAGATTGTTTATCTATCTATCTTGTCTATCTACCTACCTACCTACCTAACTACCTACCTACCTACCTACCTACCTGTGGATCATCTATCCATGAGAGTTTTCTAGGGCTGTTGTAATAAACTACCTCAAACTGGCTTAACACAACAGAAATTTATTTTCTTATGGTTCTGAAGGCTAGAAGTCTGAAATCAAGGTGTCGGCATGGTTGATTTCTTCCAAGGTCTCCGAGGGAAAATCGGTTCCATGCCTCTCTCCTTGCTTCTGGTGACAGACAGCTACTGCCTGGGGTTCCTTGTAGGTGCATCCCTCTACTCACCGCCCCCTGGTCACACGGTCATGTTCTCCTTTCGTGTCTGCATATCATCTTTCCTCTGTGCATGTCCGTGTCCAAATTCCCTTCTTCTTTATAAGGACATCAGTCCTATTGGATTAAGGGCCCACCTTATTCCAGTCTGACCTCATCTTAAATTGACTACTTATATCTACAACAACCTGATTTCAAAATAAGGTCACATTTTGAAGTACTGGGGGTTAGGACTTCAGTAAACCTTTCTGGGGGGGACATATTTTCTCCCATGATACTACCTATAAGAAGTCCAGTAAAAGTTTCCTATCTCTTTTATAGTTAATTATTTGAAACAATAATCCTCTTTCCCAGGATTTACTTAAATACTTTTTCAAGACAGTTTACCCAAATTTTATTCTGTGGTAGTATTACGTGTCTTTCTCATAGCTTAATATTTTAGAAATAATTCAGTTTACATTTACATTTACTTATCCCCCCATAAAACACCCTGATCATCATTGAGAATCCGTTCAGCACTCATATGTCTGGGTGATAGACAAATACTCTTATTAACCCCTAGGAAGACAGACTATAGCACCAACTCTTATGGAGAAATCCATATTCCACTCTTGGTCGGGTACAGGACAGAGTTAATACTGATAATGAAAATGAATTGTCATCTTCAGACAGTTGGGTATTTTAGCTATATAAATACCCCTGTAGGAAATTAATATGTAATTATAATACAAATTTTTTTATTACCATAAATTTTATAAATGGATTTGGGGCTTTTTACTTTATATAAAAAAAACTATAGCTTGGAGGATTAGAATACATTAAAAATTATATCAATCAAATGAGAGTGTGTATGTATGTGTGCATGCATGCATGTATGACAAAGAGAAAGAGAGAGAGAGAATATGTCAAAAACCAACAATTCTTGAATTTAGGACAGTATACCGGTGTCCATGATGATATTTCAACATTTCAGTATATATGGAAGCTCTCCTAACAGAAAGTTCAGGGAAAGACATAATGTCAACATTGAGATCCCGCTCTATATAAGTTAACATCACTTTTAGCCGTGCAGAAAGCATTTTAAGGTCTTGCAGTTTCTAAATGTTATGATAAGTATTGGTGATTCCCTATCACATATGTATTTTAGTGCCAGAAAATAAAAAATGACAGTTGAACCAACTTTTTACTGTACTGAAAAAACCTGGATGTTCACAGAAACAAGATGCATTTGTCTCATTGCATCATTAGTGAGGATTAGGCGTTGAGAGTAGTAAGATGTTTTAGTGTGTATTTATAACTTTTCCCCACTTCTTATTAGTGCTTCTTATACTGAAGAAGTCCGTTCACTAGGAGTGGCATCCGTACTCTCCTCTTGGGAAACGGTGGCCTATTTTGTAACTTTTTATTTTGACATAGTTTCAGGCTCACAAGGAGTGCCATTTACTTCTAAATACCTCATTACTTTGTACATAAGAACTAATTGGCTTGCAGGCTTAGTGGGACTTTTACTATGAACTTTGTAAGCCAGAAATCAGATATGAAGGAAAGAAGGCTATTTTTTCCTTTTTGCACAAGCCCTTTGTCATCTCCATTTGATGCGATATTTAGTAGAAATTGAATTCGATAGAACAATTTACGAAGCTACGTCCTCAGGTTCATGACTTTGGGGCATTAAAGGATTCTGACAGACACAGCTAGTAGGAAAAGCAAGATGAAACCTTCAACTGGGACTACATTTCACTGAACAAAATGGAATCACAACTTTTGAAGATTAACGTGGTAATAATGGAGTCACTATTTCAGGAACAATTTATGGGCTTTACCTTCCTTAGGTGTATATACCTCGGGGTGTGTTTAAATAATCACACATTCAGTCCTATCAATCAGTCTCATTTTTCAAGAACTGATTGAGATGTAAGAAATTATGCTCACTGGTCACATAGAGTGTCCCTGAAATTTTGGAGACAAATATTTGAATTCTGGAATTCAGATGAAATTTCTCAGTGGCTCAACTCTTGGAAAAAGTTGTATTCAGCTTATTGTAGAATCCCTGCCCTTTCATGAAATACCCAGTATTGAATCTAAGAACTAATCTGTGTGAGGATTCAGAATGTATGGGTCTGAGAGCCAGGCTCAGTGTGCAGGTCCAGAAGGCGTAGGTATGCTGACTCTCCTGAGGAATGGCTGTGCGGCTGTGGGGTGAGGTCCTGGGCTCCGGAACCACACACGTTGAGTTTGTGGTCCCTTCTGCCACTTACTACCTGTGTGACTTTACAGTGAATTATGTCAGTCTCTCAATTTCACTTTCTTCATCTGTAAATTGGCTTTAAGAACATCTAGCTCATGGTGTTCTAGCAAAGATAAAAATGAGGTAATTTATGTAAAATATTTCTCATCACCCAGGAAGCATGGAATAAATGGTGAAAATTGTTCTAATTATTCATTGTAATGGGTCCAGACAGATATGTTGTATTATAAT